TTAACATAAATGCACAAGCCTCCTCCCAATGCTCCGCGGTCTAGTCGATATATATCGTAGCCTTCAAAAGAAATTACATCGTTTGATATATTTTCATTGAGCCAAGTTTCACATATAAATAAAATATCAAAACGATGTTCATTAAAAATTGTTCTTATATTTTGCAAATGTGGTAAAAGAGATCTTGCGTTGAGACATCCTATATATAAATGATCAAGCATTCCCAAATAAAATGAGTTTCAAAGAAAAGGCTAAATTAAAAAAAAAAAAACAAACCAATCTAAAAACTGTAGAGATAAGAAAGTAACAGAAATGAAATAAAATTGTATCTGGATACGCGCTAATTGCGCCTATTGTGTGCTCCAATAGTTAAACTTATAAATTAGTGAAATGAGATAAGTAACACTTACATGAGTATTATTTATTTGAAAAACACTATTATGAAAGCGATGCAGAAAAAATATAATTTAATGAAAATAATTTGTGAACAAAAATTGATAGGTATCTAAAAATATTTATATTCTAGATAAATCTTGAGAAGACATAATTTTAGTGATATTGTTATCGTTAGTAAACTTGATGAATATAACACCGAAGTTCGTCCAAACTTTCCCATTTTTTCCAACTTTTTCTAAGGCCATCTTCAATAGTTTCGACTGCTCTGTAGTCAGGTCTTCTCTAATCACAATTTGGCAACCTTTAAGTAATTTTTTGTTTTGAAAAACTACGCTCCGATGATAACCATTAAAAAATTTTACTAGCAAAGGACGACATTTTCCTGTAGTAGTTTTTCCAACCCTGAAACATCTTTCGATGTCTGAAATCTTTATATTTAACTTCAATTTATTGTTGAAAATATTAATTATATTAGTTCTACAATCCTCATTAACATTTTCCTTCAGACCGTAGATCAAAATATTATTTTTACGGATAAATTGTTCATGTTTATCACAACTTTTCTTCATGGACTTAATTATTTCATCCTGTTGTAAGACAATCTCTTCTAGCTTCTCAGTTTTTTGTTTTAGAGTTTCAATATCTTTATTAATTTCTTCTTTAATAGACTTAAAAATTGTATCACTAAGCTGAGTGATAAAATTTTCCGACGCACACAATTTATTTACAGCAGTCATAATTGCGAGGTGCAGTTGATCTACGTCCTCTTTACTTTTCTGGTCCCTTGTGATTGGCATAATGATAATGATATAAATGATAAAAGTAACGTAAATTATGTATTCTCTCGTCAATTAGTTGTATTAGTTGAAAAATATTATATAAAATGGGTACCTGTAACAACTTTAAACTTTTTAAGTGCACTTTTTATCACAGTTCCAGCCAAAATAGCAGCACACAAATAAACACGTCTACTCACACGGCGACATGCGGCTATTCTAGTGCCTCCTGCCAAAACCGACGTCTCGTCTCACCAGATCCTACATCAGGTCCTATTCCTACCGTGTGGAGACATGTCATTATCATCGGAGCAACTTCCTTGATGTAAATATCAAGGGGAGTTAGACTAACAATGACTTCCATGGCTCTGATCGATGTGGTTTTCATGACTCATCCTGATCGTCACATTTCTTAGTCTACGGTTAGAAGAATAGAAAACAAATTTCGTGAAGTTTGAAATGTTATCCGATCAAAATATATTGGATATATTGTTAGATTAGAGATTTAAGATAATCCATATAAACACTTGAAGGAATTGCTGCCGATAATGATGATAGTAAAACGACCATATTGTGTCTTCTAAAAAAAAGAAAAATACCACCGATATAAAATTCATTTGGTTCAAGAATTTTACGACGATAAACCTGCAAAGTCATGGCAAATAGATGCCTTTATTTATAACAGAATAAGGCAAGAAATTAATCGAATACAAACGATACAAAATGTTTTAAAATAATTTCAGCAACGCTTCTATTAGTGTAAAGAATAAAAAGGTACCCAGTTTGAAGATTTGATTTAAAATCTTTTATGATCTTTTGTTTAGAGAAATTAAAAAACCCTGTATTATTGGGTAGAAAATCTGTTTAAAAGGGTTGCTGTCACTCCAAGGGAGATTGAAGGGAGAGGTATAAAATTATGCTAATTTTGGAAATAAAATTGACTGTTTTAGGATTTTACTCATAAACGTGGAAAACGAATGTATCCGTTACTTATGGACCGCGCTGTATATTTTGAAAAGTAAAAATGATTGTGCATGAATCTCGGCGAGGTAGACGGCCATTTCGTAAACAATTCTTCTTCCTCTTCGGTGCATGTTGCAGTGTAACGTTATTTAAATAAGAAATGTTTAACCAACGGTTTCAAAATTAGTTTCGCTTAATTATTCAAAAAATACCGCTAAACAATTAGGTGCCTACAACGTTGGGTTGCGGTTTCGAATTAAACACAGGAAATTAGAGAAATTGTACTACAGGGTGGTCCTAGTCTCGCAAGTAGTTTACTAGTTTTTGGATTTTAAATCTGCAACTGTTGAATTACAGAAAATTAAAAGATTGATTTGATTTACCCGGTAAGGATTAATCAAAATTTTTCGAGATTGTCTTCCGAAAATAATTACAAACTCTTCCTGCATGTGATCTAAAAACTATTAACAGATAAGGATTGTGGAAGTTATATATTTTAGGAATTATCTATGTAGTAATTATTGAGGAAGACAAGCAAAAAAAATAATATATTGGATCCGTAAATTACAAATAAGCGCTTCTAAATAATGCAATAGGAAACTCATTCCAAACTGAAAAATATTAAAGCAGGAATACCACAAGGAAGTGAATTGGGACCTGTCCTGTATCTAGTATACACTACCGATGTTGCTGAATGAGAACAATAAGTGAAAAAGATCAGTTCTCAAATATTATATAGTTGTATAAAAATACAAATTTAAGTAATATGGATAACAAACTCTACCTCAATTTTTTAGTAAGCGAGAAAGAAGTGGCAAACAAATAGAGAAAATTAGATTAGGAGTTGGACGTTATTTGTCCTTGTCAACCGCGACCTTTTCAGATCTATTGTGGAACTCCGTTTGTTTTAGAGTATGTCGTTTAGGTTGGTCTTTTTTATTAGACTTAGTAGCTTTGACAGTGGCTCCCGCATGTAGTTGCATGCATTTGGCTTTTTTTCGCCCAATGTTAGAAACCTCATTCCAGCCAGGCCTTCACATTGGCACAAGACGTGGAATGATGTTTCCTCTTCTTCTTAACAGAACCTGCACAAAGTTGCTTCTTCTGCTGGATTTGTGACACTCATGTGCCTTTTAAGGCGACAGTGTTCGGTAAGAAGACCTACTGTTATCCTAACGATTTGACGCTTTTAATCCAGTAGGTCTTTCGTGAACTTGGCCGATGGTTCCTTGATAAACTGTTTGGCCTGTCAGTCTTGGATAGTTGTTCCACCATTCCTGAGACTCTTTTTGCATCCATTGTTTGATGGATGCCTTGCATAATACCTTAGCAGCACCACAGAAGGGTTCGGGGCCTGTCATGGCCTTATCTGAGCCTTCTCGGGCTAATTCGTCGGTCTTTTCGTTGCCCTGATATCCCTCATGGCCTGGCACCCAGACTAGGGTCACCTTGTTTTGATTACTTAGCTCTGCCAGGTCTTCTAGACAATCTTTCACCAGTCGTGATTTGATTTCTGGTGAGAGAATTGCCTTTAGAGCTGCTTGGCTATCAGAGTATATGGTAATAGTTTTGCCTGATACTTGCTGATTTAATATTTCTCTTGCACAGTGTTGTATGGCTATTAGTTCAGCCTAGAACACTGTTGCATATTTTCCTAAACTCAAAGAAATCGTTGTTTTCGACTTGTGTCCAGAGATTCCAGCACCGGCTCCTTCCTTGGTTTTTGAACCGTCTATGTAGCAGACGAGTTCGGCCTGTACGGGAGGTCATTGTTTGCAAGATTCTCGGGCTCGTATTTGAATTTGAACATTTCTTTCCAATTTGTATGTTGTTATGGCTCTATCAGTAGGCATAGCTAGAATATTGTCCTTTTTTACTTACTGATAGAGCCTTGTGTGGTCGAAGCTATGTAGTTGGCTTATTGGGTTTTGTCTTTGCATTAGCCTGGGAATAGCTGACCTGGTTTCTCCTTGTATGAAGATGTGCAGTGGCGTGAGATTTAATAATGCCTCCATTGCTGCAGTTGGCGTAATACGCATGGCCACAGTAGCACTTAAGACAGGCGAACCGCTGAATGCCATTAAGTTGGCCTATTGCACTTGCCTGCGCAGTTTTGGTTACCCATGCCACTGCGTCATAGGTTATCATGGGTCTTACCACCCTTGTGTATAACCATATGGTCAGTTTGGGGTTTAGACCCCAGTTTTTCCCACATATTCTTCTACAGCTTACGAAAGCTATTGTAGCTTTGTGTGTGAGTTTTTTGAGATGTTGATTCCACGTCAGCCTGCTGTGACGAATAGGATAAATGTGTTGTTTAGTACTAGTGGCTTTTTTTGTGAACTGTTGTTTTTTGGGCGTTAATGGACAATTGATCCTTTTTGAATGGAGGAGAACATCAAACAATAGTTTCTCGATGACAAGTCAATTCAAAAGAAATTGAATTTTTGTGAGGTACACTATGAGTACTGTCTGTTATGTCATCTGGGTTACTCGCGAGTCGTGACATTATTAATGCAGAAATGTCAGTTTAAGCTTGGCTTATTTCTTAAAGACCAGTGGTGCAAAATAACCTAAGAGATAGACTAACAACAAAAAAATAATTACATTCAAAACACTTATTTAAAACCGATTTTAAATTACACTGACGTTGACAGCTGACAAGTTCTAAATTGTAACAAAAAAACAAGTACGCCATAGGGTTTCATACACCAAGAAAATTAAACAGTTAAAAAGAAAGCTCTCATTGTGTGCTTCATGTACTTTTTTTATGTCATTTTCTTTGACAAAAACTATTCTTGACTGAATATCCACGAATAGTGTAGGTCAAATAGCACTTGAATGAGAAGAAAAAGTAGTACTAACCTTCAATAGTTTGATAAGCCGCCACGACCGCGTTTGTTAATAGGACTTTGTCGTTTTTATTGTAAGGAAGCCATTCCAGTGTCGTCGAGGTGACGACTTGATCCAAATTTCCAGCTAGAATGTGTACGGACGGCTCTCCGTTTACTAATGCGAACCAAAGTGGTACTAATATTACGGGCCAATGGATATGCTTCATTTTCTTTCTGGAAATAAAAAAATAATAATATACAGGATGGCCATTTTTTAATTGAAATGTATTGCTATCTCGTAAACCGTGTGTTATTTTAAAGTTCAATCTGAGGACGTTTTAATAACCAAAATATCAGGGCTGGTTTTCCGAGATAATCAATAAAAACCCATTTAGTTCAAATTCTTTATTACACTATAGAAAATTTATTTTTAAAAATAGACAAAAACTCAGTTAATAATGTTTTTGGTTTGATATCAAGTTGCGTATATGTTGGCATATTTACTTTTTTTATCCGAGGTTTCGTAAATTTAGTACCACCATCAACTTCTTTATTTGGCTGTACACAAGTGTTATTCCGACAAATCATTTAAATGCATGCTCAATGCTGATTACAATAATTTAACAACATGTTGTCATTCGTCAACATTTCGGAAGATTTGAACCTCGTCAGTTCAGTACGGACCTGTATTTTTTAGTTAAAATCGGATTATTTTTAGAAATTATGAATATTAAATACCAACGGCAAAAATTTTAATCGGCGATTGTTATATTCACAATACATGTTGAAATTACATTGTTAAAAATATAAAACTGTAAAATATGTTTTCAAATAAATTATTTTCGTTATGACTAATAGAATTAACTAACGAGAAATAAATGCACATTTAGCTTTCAAAATATAGTTGCTTATTTCAAATAATTCATAATACAGATCCATACTAGCAAGTAAACTTAACTGATGATATTAAAATCTTCCAAAAAGTTGACCACTTTTCCAAAATCTATTTTTTTTTTGTAAAAAAAATGCAAAAAGATTTTCTCAATAGAAACAATAAGGTGTGAATGATTTTTTGGATATATATCATGTCTTTAGAACGGATAAATATAAAAATAAATATGCACAAGAAATTAATAAAAATTAATAAAAATTAATAAAAATTAATAAAAATTAATAAAAATTAATAAAAATTAATAAAAATTAATAAAAATTAATAAAAATTAATAAAAATTAATAAAAATTAATGACCTAACTAGGGCATTTTATACGGTCAATCATGACCTACTCATTGAGAAGCTCTTTGGAATGGGAGTCAGAGGAGTGGCTAGCGACTGGATTTCTAGTTATTTAAGCAACAGACGTCAAATAGTCAGTATAGATTCGATTAAATCACAGCCCAAAGATATTAACATGGGAGTACCACAGAGCTCGACCTAGCCGCGCTATTTAGTATTTTTGTCAGTGACCTGACACAATCACGTAAAAAGGCCAAAAAAACAGTAATCTATGCAGACGATACGAGTCACATAGTGGCTGAGCATAAACTTGCTTTATCGGCTGAGTATGCAAACGCCACCGTAGAAGAATTTTCGGACTGGTGCTCAGAAAATGGGCTGCTAATTAACATAACAAAAACAGTATTTATGATCTTTCAACAAAAAAACATCAGTTATGGCTTCTGCCCATTAATTAGGCTTGATCATAGAACGATAGAACAGGTGATAAACTTTAAATATCTAGGAATGACCCTAGACCAGAAGCTTACATGGGAAGGACATATTGACAAGGTGGTCTCAAGGATGAACAGTTTTTGTTTTATGTTTAGACATCTTCACAATACAACTTCTCTGAATGTATTAAAGTTAGCCTATTTTGAGCTGGTACAGTCATTATTAACCTACGGACTAACTTTTTGGGGAAACGCTTCACATACTGTGAAAATATTTATAACTCAGAAGAAAATAGTGAGATGTATAACTGGTTACCACTATAGGGCATCTTGCAAGAATTTGTTTAAATCTTTGGAAATATTAACATTGCCATATTTGACCACATTAAACATTAAGAAAAATGAATCTCAATATATTCGAAATAACATGATTCACGAACGCAACACACGGAGAGGCAATGACTTAAGACTGCCATATTCCCGGCTGACCATTGGGCAGGGTTCTGCGGGTTATCAGGGCATCATCTATTTTAATCATATAATTAGGCTTTTGGGTAATATAGTTATGTTTTTAAAACCAAACTTTTTAAATATTTAGCTGAAAATGCGTTTCATTCTGTAGAAGAATTCCTGCAGATTTCTTAATCATTTTAATTTAATTTTAGATTTATATATAAATATTTTTTATTCTTATTATAGTAATTTTAGATATACGAGGTAAGCGCTAATAATTCCCGGCCGGACAATGAAGGAGGCAAAGTACAACAACAAGTTTTTATTATTTTTCAATGTAATCTCCCTTAACCTCAATGCACTTCTTACAACGTTTAATTAACAATTCAATCCCTTTAAAAAATATTCTTTCGGTTTATCCTCAAAATGGGCCAAAACAGCTTCTTGTAACTCAAAATCGTCCCGAAAACGTCGCCCGCGAAGGTCCTTTTTCAAATAACTAAACAAATAATAATCGCTGGGAGCCATATCTGAACTATAAGGAGGGTGATCTATATTTTGAAACCCGCAATCTAGGATGGCAGCTTGTGTAACGCCAGCAGTATGAACGGACGCATTGTCGTTCAACAACCGCACGCCTCTGGTTAATTTTCCTCGACGTTTTTCCCGAATACATTCCCGCAACTTATGAAGTAATGCTGCATAATATGTGCCATTAACGGTGGTATTTGTCTCTTTAAAATCAATCAGAAGGATTCCTTCACAATCCCAAAAGATCGTAGCCATCACCTTTTTCGTTGATTGGCAGACACTAAATTTTTGTGGGGGGGCTTCACCCTTACGGCGCCACTCCATTGATTCCCTTTTCAACAGAGGATCATAATAAAGAACCATAGTTTCATCTCCAGTGACAACAGTTTCCAACAGTCGACACGACGTTGCTTCTGAATCGCCGAAAAGTGTTTGGGCACCCATCTTGCACTAACCTTATGCATACCCAAATGATCATGGAGGATTCGGCGAACAGTGGTATCAGAAACCTTGGTCATTTCTGCCATTTCCTTGACCTTCAAACGTCGGTCACTTAGCACCAGGTTTTCCACAAGGGCCACTTTGTCCTCCGTTATCACCTCCACTGGCCGTCCAGGTCTTTCGTCATCTTCAAGGGATTCCTGACCCATGCGAAAACGTTTTGCCCATTCCTTCACTACCGAATAGGAAGGGGAACTTTGGCCATATAAGTCATCGAGTTTTTCTTTAATAATTTTAGGTGTAAGCCCTTCTTTTGTTAAAAATTTAACAACCGCTCTGTACTCAATTTTCGTCACCTGAGACATTTTCGGAGATACTTTAGTTCAAAATGCTGACAATTATAAACTATTTGACGTAAGTCGCTTATTTTGTTACCACAGCCTACTAAGGTTTGTAGTTATAAAATGTTAAACTTTTATCCTGATAAAATATCTGCAACTATGTCAGGCTGGGAATTATTGGCGCTTACCTCGTATGTTGTAAATGGAAGTGCTATATATTGTATTGTTCTATTTCTTTTTTTTTTTGACAAGTCTCATAAATGAACATTTTGTTGTGTATTCAAACATATGTATCTGTACATTTTATAGACGAATAAAGGATTTATTTATTTACCGCATCGGCTGAGCAAAGAACAGAAGTAAGCTTGGGTCATTGGTCTCAAAAACTCTAAAAACTTGTACAATATTATCAGTGATGATGAATCGTGGATTTACTGACAAGATAAACGCCAATCGTCCGATTGGGTATTCCCAGGTGAAGAAAATCTGACAGAAGTCATCCGTTTACGAAGTGTGTCCAAAAAGATGGTCTGGACATTTGTTTCAAAAGCAGATCATGTAGCATTACTTCCTCTGCAAGATCACAGAACTGTTACTACTGATTGTTATGCAACCATTTGTTTACCGAAAGTAATTGCTAAGCTTTGAAAAACCAACCCCAACTGACGAATCATCATCCACCAAAACAATGCAAGTTTGTACAGTTCGCAAGACAATTGAATTTTTCCGTACAGTCCCGACTTAAATCCCAACGATTTTTTTACCTTTCCAGGACTGAAAGTTTGGCTGTACCAACAAAGGAATGGAATAACAGCTTCCAGAATACAAAGGTGTATTAATCTTCTTGGAAAATACTTCTAAAAACAATAAAGTTCTTGAAACCTATCTACTGCTTTATTCCAGCTCTATTTGCAAAATTAAAAATACGACCCTCGTATAAATTGGACATATTTCAAGATAGAAAATAAATAATGAATTAAATTAACGATTATGCAGATTTAATTGCCCGTTGTCACGTAATAATTACCCGAAAAAAAATCGTAACATTCACACGATTTTGAGTAGTTTCACCCCTTCGTTTGTATTTCCATTAACGCACCCTTCCCCTACCCCTCTTCCCAGTTTGTCTGCGTTAATACGTGAAAACTAATGGCCATATTGGTGTGGTTACCATTTCAATTTGTCGACCGTGTAAAAATTCCAAATACGCAGACCAGACCAGTCGGTGTCGGGGTGAATAAAATTAATGAACTTCTTCTGACTGATGGTGACAATAATTAAGTCGTTTATAAACAGTTTAAATAAGGGCTCGTTAAGTGTACTTGATCTTGGCGTTGCTAAATTAGAGTTTGTATTCGGATTTTTTTTTTACTTCACATCCAGTTAATTTAAAAATCTTAATAGCATTGTAAATACGGGAAAAGTTGAGTTTACTGTTAAGTAGTTATGTAAAAGGTAATCAGAAAATTGTTCTTGTTTATCAGATTCAGATTTAATTTCATACAGATCGAAAAAATAAAAATAGTAAGGTTTTTTCTGGATTTAAAACAGTTTCGAACCTTTTCTAGGACATTTAATTTTGTACTTATATCTTTTTTCTTGTCGATCATCTTTCTGATAAAGAGGACAATTTTAAAATAATCACAGTACCGTTAGTGAAAATGATCGGAATGTTTAAAAACTACATATTTTCATTATTGTAGCAGTAAAAAAAGTACAGGGAAACAATAGTGAACGAAAAGCATTGTTGATATAGCGTAAACCATTGATAAAAACAATTGTACCGCATCAGAATGGAC